AGTAGTAGTAGTAGTAGTAGTCGTAGTCGTAGGCGTAGCAGTAGTAGTAGTAGTCGTAGTAGCAGTAGTTGTATTAGTAGTAGTAGTAGTAGTAGTAGTAGTAGTAGTAGTAGTAGTAGTAGTAGTAGTAGTCGTAGTAGTAGTAGTAGTAGTCGTAGTAGTAGTAGTAGTAGTAGTAGTACTAGTAGTAGTAGTAGTAGTAGTAGTAGTAGTAGTAGTAGTAGTAGTAGTAGTAGTAGCAGTCGTAGTAGTAGTAGTAGTAGTAGTAGTAGTAGTAGTAGTCGTAGTAGTAGTAGTAGTAGTAGTAGTAGTAGTAGTAGTAGTAGTAGTAGTAGTAGTAGTAGGAGTCGTAGTATAAGTAGGAGGAGGAGTCGAACGAGGAGTAGTGGTAGTTGTAGTAGTCGTCGCAGCAGCAGAGGGGGAAGGTAGAGGGGGAGGGAGGGAAGGCGAGGATGTTGTGGGAAAACAGGAACACCACTCAGGATGTTGGGAATAAAACGAATCCACGGAGGATCAAGCCGACTGCCTCCCTCGGCAAGGTCATGGGCGCCTTCTGCAGGCAGTTCCAGGTGAGCGGCGGAAGAACACAGGGCCGTCTGCGCGGACGCTCGAGCCTGAGTTTCCCGCGTAGGGTCGCCGCGTGAGCGCACTCTTCTCCGCACGGTGCGCCACGCTGGCGACCCCCTTGAGCTCCGGCCTTGCGACAAAACTGCAACATCGTGAGAAATCACGACCGGGGCCCCCGTCTTTCGGTAGCAAATCCTGGAGCCAATTGTGCATTCGTAACTCCGTCTATAGAGCGCACTAGCGCCGACTTGCGTATGGTAATCGGTGATGTAGCGCCGATTCAACGTCGACTAGCGTCGATTTAGCGTCAACTAGCGTCGAATAGCCTCGATTCGCAGGACCCAACAAGTTGTTCTGGGAAGCTCCCACGAGTTGCAACAGCAGAGTCCCCATCTTGCTGCGGGTCCCGGGACCCGAAACAAGGCAAAGCCGCCTGTTGATAAGAACGTGCGACGCAATGCAGGATCTGAGGGCCCTTGCAAGCCGCGGCGTGAGGTCGCTGTGTCTTCTTGCGCAAGAACCGCTCCTTTTCTAGGCCTCCCAGACGGGGTCCGAGTCGATGGGGTCGGGGGATCTCCACGGTCCCAGTCGATGGGGTCGGGGGATTGCCCCGCAGCGCCGAGGCATCGGGGATGCAATTCGATGCGAACCCGACTTAAGTTTCTACGCCGACGCCGCCGATGCATCGCCGACGTCGCTTGTGCATGGCTGACGCATTGGCGATGCGGCGCGATGGGAGGCTTCTAGACCTGCTAGGAGGAGGAGGACGAGGAGGAGGAGGAGGAGGAGGAGGACGAGGAGGAGGAGGAGGAGGAGCAGAGGAGGAGCCAGGAGCAGGAGGACGAGGAGGAGGAGGAGGAGGAGGAGGAGGAGGGAGAACGCTCCTCATCCTCACTCCAGGTGGACGGGGCCGCCGTGCTGTTCGCGGCTGGCGGGCAGGAGCTGCAGGCCGACCAGACGCCCGCGGCGCTCGGCTGGAGCTCCGACAGGGACCGGCGTCACGCTGCAGTCGTGGGGGGGGGGACCCAGGGGATCGCTTAGTCTTAAGTCGGGCCTGTCCCCCTACAGGGGGATTTTCGAGGGAAAATAAAAACTACCCCAAAAATAATCAAGAAATAATCGAAAAAAACAGTCTGGGGACTATTTTGTTTGAGTATTGTTCTGCCTTTTGGGGGCATTTTTGGAGTATTTTTTATTCTTCGTCGAAAATCCCCCTGTGGGGGGACACGCCCGACTTGAGCTTAGTCCTCGAAGCCTTTCGGTCGTGGTCGGTGGCCGGGTTTTCTGTTGATCTTCTGGGCCATAACGCGCGGCATTTTCCTTTCCCCCCCTCCCCCTGCCATCACGCTCCCCCCCCCAGTGCGCCCCCGGTACTGCCGCACTGCGTCCGGCACCAGCGGGCGGGAGCGTCATGTTCATGCCCTCCCGCCCTCCCCCGCATAAAGCCTGGTATCGCCGCGAATAAAAAAGTGCGTCAGACAAATTGGTCCCACACCTAGTAAAGAGACATGTCTTTCTTCGTTTAAGAAATGCGGCTCGTTCTTGTTTTCATTAGCTGCGGTAGTTCAGTGAATCTGCGTCTCGGTTTTTACCAAAATGTAGTTTTTTTCACCAGCATATTATTGTGTAATAAGGTTATACTGATGAAGATTCGTTCGTCAGGACCCCTTCGCAAGGGTTCCCTCGGCAAGGATCCTTGTTGCACTGATTTTGGGGAATTCCTCTTCCTGCCTCTCCTCCTCTCTTCCACTTCATATCCCTCCCCCTCTCCCTCTCTTTCTCAGCCTCTCTCTCTGACATATATGCACATGCGAGTATGATGTTCTCTCTCTCTCTCTTAATATTTCTCCCTGTCTCTCTCTCTCTCTCTTTCTCGCTCTCTCTCTCTCTCTTTCTCTCCCTCTCCCTGTCTTTCTCGCTCTCTCTCTATCTTTGTCTTACACACTCTCTATGAATATGTCGACAGATTGCTGTCTTGTGATAATGGTTCGAGTGTGGTTTCTCACAGTTGTTGCCGGTCTAGCCTTGCAAAGGGAATCCTATTGCACTACGTGTTCCTTAGTCAGGACCCCTTGCGAAGGGTATCCCGTTACAAAGGAAACCCGAGTGCAACCAGTGCAGATGGAATATTATTGCAATTATGGGAATCTTGTTCTTGTGTTCCCTTTGTGAAAAGGAAATCAGATTGCAATGGGGGGGTCCGTAGTAAGGATCTCCTTACGCAGGGCCCATTCAAGAAGGGCTCCTTCAGAAACGATTCCTTACTAAGGATGCCTCTTGGCAAGGGCTCCTTCGATACGGAATCCTGAGTACGGATTTCGTACGTTCGGATTTTATCGCAAGGAATCAGTGATAAATGTTATTTCGTAAGGTTTCTTTAGGATTCATTCGGAATGCTTCGTTTCGCAAGGACTCCTGCAGGATTCACCACGTAAGGAATCCGTACTCGAGGTCCCTGCCTGAAGGAATCGTTCCTAAAGGGAATTGTTAGTTACGCAGGAGTTCTTACTGAAGGAGTCCTGATTGAGAGGGTTGTTGCTCAGGAATCCTTCTGGCGATATCTATGCGCAGTGGATCCAAATAATATTATACTGCGTTGTAAGATTCCTCAACGCCGTCGCCGTTGTCGTCTTCCTCCAGGGAGGCCTCCCAGGCCTCCCACTTCTCCTTATCTTCCCCCTCCTCAGCATCATCAATATTCTCGTCCTCATCCTCCTCTACCTCCCCGTCTCCTCCTCCTCGTCCTCATCCTCTTCCTCCAACCTCTATCCGTATCCCTCCTCCATTCTCATCCGCCTCCTCCGCCTCCTCCTACTCTCTCCTCCCCTCCTCCGCCTCCACCCTCCGCATTTTCCTCCCGTCCCCTTCCTCCCCCTTCTCCTCCTCCTCCACCTCCCCTTCCTCCTCCTCCTCCTCCTCCTCCTCCTCCTCCTCCTCCTCCTCCTCCTCCTTCCCCTACTGCCACCCCGCCGGCGCTTCCGCGGCCTCAGGGTCCCTACCGCCCGGATCCCCCTCCGGAGGCCCTCCATCCGTGTCAAGCGGGGAGTCCCAGAGGCGAAAACAAAAAAACCCAAGGAACAAAACATCAAACAGCAAAATCAAAGACCGACGGCTGACAAATAAGAAGCACACTAGATAAAACAAGCAGCACAAGAAGCATGTCCACCCCACACCACCCACCAACCACCCCCAGAGAAAGTGCCGATGCTGTTTTTGTTTTCAGCCGTGGGTCTCTGATTCTTGTGTTATTGTTTGGTTATTAAGTGTGTTCTTTTTGGCTTTCAGCCTCCCAGGTGGAGAATGGATTGAAAAAGGGGGGCTGACGAGGAGGAAGGAGGATGGGGAAACGATCGGGGAAGGATGGGAGGACGGGGAGTGGACAAAAGGGAGAAGTCGGAGGAGCGGAACGGACATGGAATGAGAGCGGTTTTTTCCTTAAATCTTTTGAGGGCCAAACGCCTGCCATACCCATCCAGTCTGGAGCTGAGTAACGTTCCCTCTTCCTGCATCCCACTGCTCTCCGCCTCCTCCTCTGAGAAAGGGCCGATCTCTTTCAGAAGGCCCCCTGCCTTCTTGTAAGACCACCATCGGGGAGGGCACTCCCTGCGCATCGCCTCTGAAGCTATGGCCTTGGCGTGCGCGTGTTGATCATGCGCGCTATGTCAAAACACGCGGCAGAAGCTCAGTGTTCACGCGCGCTTCGGGTCGCTCAGGATTTCGTGGCGAACCTGTGGCAGCTCTTCGGGGCTCGATGTGCGACCACACCCACCTCTCGAAACCTTATTCTCCAGCAGCTCAAGATGGGGTGTGTGCGTGGTCTCATGTACCCTCCCCTGGGGCGGAGAACTTGCCACCACCTCCTGAACAGGTTTGTCGACAGAGTCCTCGGGAGGTGGAAGCCTCAAGGGTTCTCTCTCCAAAGCACTGCTGCGTCAAATCGCTGTAGATCCCCCCTCGCCCCCGTGCTCGCCCCGCCTCGAAGGACGTCAGCATCCTCGTGAGACTGCGGGCGGAGGCGCCGCCGCAGGGCGCAGAGCCGGGCGCGGGCCCCGGTCCAGCTGCCGTCGCAGACCAGGCCCCGAGGGCCGAGAAGGTCTCGGTCAGGGTCGTCCCCGCGCCCAGCTCGGAGGGCCGCGCCCTGGAGCTCCAGGTGGAGCGGGGCGCCGCCCTCGAGGAGACGATGCAGGCGTACTGCAGAGAGAGCGGCGCCCCCCGCGAGGCGGTCCGGTTCCTGTGCGACGACGGCCGCGAGCTGTCTCCCCAGGACACGCCCGCGTCCTGCGGCTGGTCGGCCGCCTTTGGCGCCCTCACCCTTCGCGCCGTGCACGCCGGCGGCGGCCCGAGGCCGGCGACGGCAGCGGCCGACGGCCCGCCGGGCGGTGCCGTCGGCGCCGCGATCGCCGGCGAGGCCGCGGCGGCGGCGGCGCCGCCGCCGACGGCTGCGTCCCCGCCGCGGCCAGCGCCGGCGCCAGTGGAGGGCTCCGACGTCAAGGTTCCAGGCCTCCCAGGTGGGGTCGGAGTAGGTGGGGTCGGAGCATCGCGCCGCATCGCGGGTGCCTCGCCGATGCGGCTCGAGGTGGGGCCCCATGTGCATCACGCCGACGTCGCCGATGCGTCGCCGATGCGTCGGCGATGCGGCTCGAGCCTCCGACCCCACCCGCCCCGACCCCACCCGAGGGAGGCCTCTGGAGGTGCTCGTCCAGGTCTACGCGGTCGGGGCCGACGGCGAGATGGTCGTCGACTTCAAGACGGGCATGGGCAGGCCGCTCGGCAAGCTGATGGCGGCGTGGTGCAGGCACTGCGGCGTGCCGGAGGGCGAGGCGCGCTTCGAGCTCGCGGGCCGCGCCGAGAGGCTGCGGCCGAGCGACACGCTGCAGGGCCTCGGCGTCGGCGCGGCGGGGCAGCCCGTGCGGATCGACGCGGTCCCCGACGGCGCCGACGGCCCGGCCGACGACCCGACCGCCGAGCTGGCGGCCGAGCAGGCGGTCGGGCGCGGCCTGGACGAGGGCGGATCCGTTCCGGAGCTCGGGCCGGACGAAAGGGGGGGATTGGGAAAGGGGGGGTTACGACATTTGCTGCATGCAGCTGGTTTCGGCCTCACCGAGGGGCCCAGTCCTCGATACATAGCCGCCTCCCGGCGCCGGGAGGCGCCGGGAGAATCAGCTACGCGAGCTGATTTTCAAACCCCCCCTTTGCTATCCCACCCTTTCGCCCGACCCGAGGAGCGTTCATGGGACGCTCTCCGAGCGCTCCAAAAGCGCTCCGAGAATGCCGCGGCGCCCGAGACTTGCTCCAGAGCCGCCAGATCTCAGGTCGGCGGCGAGCGAGGGGGGGGAAGTGAGAAGGAGCAGGCCCGTTCACAAGCCCCCCGGCCTTCTGAGAAGTGTTCTGAGCATCCTTCCCTGAAGACTCAGAGCATTCCTCAGAAGGCGCGAGGGCTTCTGAGAAGTCCCGCCCGCCTTCTGAGAAGGCCTCCTCCTCCTCGTTTGCCCCCCCTCGCTCGCCGCCGACCAGAGATTCTCGATCCATGCCCCCCCGGATTGATCCTCGTCCTGGCTTCGTCTCAGGCGGCCCGCCGCGAGCCCGGCGGCGCAGAGCAGGCCCCGGCGCTGCTTCCGCCGGCGGCGATTCCGGCCGAGGCCGCCGTCGGCTCGCCGCCCCCCGGCAGCGAGCCGCAGGGGCGGCGGCCGCCCGAGCAGGCCTCGGCGGTCCAAAGCTGGTCGTGGCGTCGCTCGGACGTGTGCACGTTCTCCTCGGCGGGGGCTCGGGCGCGTGCGTTTGCTCCTCGGCGAGGGCCATCGAGGAGCACCTCGGCTCCTCTTTGGGAGAGGCACGCGCGAGCTCGAGGGATGCACGGGGGAGTGGACGTCCGAACGATGGCGAGTGGTCGGTTGGGCGATGGTCGGTGGGGCCCCGAGGGAGGACCTACACGCCGGTGGTTGGGAAGGTAGGCATGTTCTGGACATCCAGATCCCAAACTATTTCAGGCGCCTTCCTACTTCAAGGGTCGAGCGGTTTCACCTCTTGCCTCCTCTTCAGGGGGCGGGCGGAAGCCCGATCGAGGCGGGGCCACCATGCGGGCGCTGCTGCAGTGACCTTTGGTAAACCCCCCTCCCCTATGGGGCCGCGAAGCGCTTGGGGGGGGGGCGGTTCCGGACTGGGGCGGGGCCGCAAGGCGAATTTCGCCATTGGTGCCTTCGGTGGAGTTCTTTATGGGGCTGCGAAGCGCGTGGGGTGCGTGTCGATATAGTTTGGGGGGCGCTTCAACGCCTTCCAACGGGGCCCTGAGGGAGGCCTGAATGAGAGCAGTGGCGAAGCGTCCAGGCTTGCCTTTCGGCCCACCGAAGAGGTTTCGAGGAACCTGTTGTGGTCCGCACGACATGTCCTTAGAACATTTCTGATTGAGACTCTTTTGTTGTAACACATCGGGTGCCTGCTCTAAGAATATTGTTTTTGTTATCAGAGCATTGTTTTGTTCGGAAGACATTGCGTGGTAGACCTCTAGGAATGCCGGGCCGGTCGGTCCTTGCTCAAGATAGAACTGGATCCCAGGCTGGACTTGCATTGTCTGAGGCATCTCTTAGTCCTCGGGGCTCCATCCTTCAGGGCCCTCATGGCCCATGGCCCCATCTTTCGGGCGATCGCAAACATGGATCAAGGGGGCGTGGATCAGCGACGGGTCCCGTTTCCATGGGAAGCCTCGGCTTTCCGCCGCCGAGCGAGGCGGCACCGGCTGCATGTTGGGGAGGGCACCCCTTCCGATCCATGGACTCGGCGACCGAGCGCCAAATCCATGGATCGCGAGTCCATGTTTGCGCGCCTCCGAATGGGTGGAGGACGAAGGAATGAGAAAGACGAACAAGAGGAGGAGGAGGAGGAGGAGGAGGAGGAGGAGGGGGAGGAGGAGGAGGAAGAGGAGGAGGAGGAGGTTGAGGAGGAGGAGGAGGAGGAAAAGGAAGAGGAGAGGAGGAGGAGGAGGAAAAGGAAGAGGCCCTCGAATCTTTGCATCGCCGAAGGCCAGCGGTGCCACCGGCGGCGGCCCCGCCGACAGCGGCGGGGCTGCCAGCGGCGGCGGCGCGGCTCCGCCGCCCACCGGGGTGGGCGGGGGCGGCGCGCTGGGCGCCGCCGCGGCGCCGGGCCCCGGGAAGGTGACCGTGCAGGCGGCTCTCCGCGCTGCGCCGCCCGGGTGGGCTCGTGGACGACGCCGAGGGTGGGAATGCTTCGAGGTTCGAGGTGTTCCGACGGTGTGGTTTCGGGTCTAGCCAGAGCTCGCTCCAACCCTGGTTGGCTGATTCTGCGCGTGCGCGCCCCTGGACCTGGTCCCTGGCAGCTGCAGCTTGCACCCCCTCTCACGCCGGCCCGCCCGCCGAGGCGCTGCTGAGGTCGCCGGCCCGTCGGTGTTCAAACGGGGTCGTTTCGGGTATAGCCAGCACCCCTTGTAAAGGGACCCGGTTAGCAGTAGGGCCCCGGAGCCCCTAAATTGGCCAGAACCGCTAAGCCAGGTCTAGCTCGTGTTTTTTCGGGTGACGGCAGTTCCGGTTAGTGGAACGGGGCGGGGGGGGGCGTCCCCCAGTACACATGACCAAACCAGGTCCCACTAAACCCAGTTTTGCCAACGCCTGAGTCGAGGGGGGAGATGATTCGAGGTTCGAGGTGTTCAAACGGCTTCGTCGGTTCTCGACGGCTTTCCGCGCCTCGCCGAGAGCGCTCTTCGAGGTTCGAGGTGTTCAAACGGCTTCGTCGGTTCTCGGCGGCTTTCCGGCCTCGGGGTGCCTTCCAGCGGCTGAGCGTTCTTCGAGGTTCGAGGTTTTCAAGCGGTGTCGTCAGCACTCGGCGGCTTTCCGGCCTCGGGGTGCCTTCCAGCGGCTGCGCCTCGCGGACAGCGTTCCAGGGGTGCCCGCATCGTCCCGAACGTCCGATTGAGAGCCGAGCTATGACCCTAGAAGACTAGGCTTATGTCGGGCGTGTCCCCTTACAGGGGAATTTCCGACGAAAAATGAAAAAATACCCGAAACACATAACCCCAAAAGGTCGAACAATGCTCACATGATCCCCAGACCATTTTTGTATTGTTTTTTGTTGTTGTTTATTGTTGGAGTGTTTTTTTCGTCGAACATCCCCCTGTAGGGGGACAGGCCCGACTTAGGGATCGGCTCAGAGGGGACGCGTCGACCCCCGATAGTCCATGGATCGCCCGCAGGGGCTCCGTGGCCCACCCCGCCCAGGACGGGGGGGATTCGCCCTCGTGGGCACCGTGGTCCTCCCTCCTCGACCCTCCAATTCCTCGCCCTCGACCCTCCTCGATCCTGGAGCCTGTTTTTTTTTTTTTGTGAGGCCCTGGCGAGGACCGCCGTGATCGGCGCTCTCCCTCCTGGCCCAAAGCGTACAGCAGAGCTGATCAGGCCCGAAGGGCGGCTCGTTCTCTTTAAAGTTATTCCGGAACTGACACAGTCGCAATATCCGTAATTCCGCAACCCCCTGAAATCCCGTCAGCTGTTGTTCAGGAGGGGAAGAAACACACAGACACAAATCATCGTCGCTTCCCCCGAAGATACAGGAAAAAACATGGGCAGTGGGGGGGAAGACAAAAAACCCAGAACAGATGGGAAACTATGGGGGATCCCGTGATGTGTGTGTATTGATCTGTGCGTCCTGGGGCCCCTGGACAGCTGTTGTGGTGGCCTCGGGCCCGTGCCGCCGACCGGAGGGGCGCTCCCGCTGGTGCCCCTCCCGGGCAGGAGGGGTGCGCGGCCTTCGGGGGCGCCGCGCGGGGGGGGGGCGAGCTCGAGCGCGCAGGGCGCTACGTACCTCACCACCTACCAAACCACCCCAACCCAACCCGAAGGCCTCAATTTGCCCTCCATTTCCAGTGTGGGGGGGTCGGGGAACGTTGAAAAAACACATGGAACCCGTACCCCCCCAACCCGAAATTCGGGTCAAATTCGGGTCTTCGGGTTGGGTTGGGGTGGTCTGGTAGGTAGTCAGTACCAGTGGGGCCGCTGCCAAGGAACGCCCTGCCTGCCGCCAGGGTGCCCCAGGTCTCTCGGGCCCGACGAAAGGGGGGGGATATAGGGAAAGGGGGGGGGTACGAAATCTGCGGCATGCAGCCGGTTTCGGCCCCACCGAGGGGCCCATTCCTCTCGATACAGGGCCGCCTCCGTCGCCGGGAGGCGCCGGGAAAATCAGCTGCGTGAGCTGATTCTCACCCCCCCCCCTTTGCTATCCCTCCCTTTCGCCCGGCCCGAGGCTCCTGGGTTGTGAGGGTCCTGCCATGGAGAGCGTGGCGCCCCCCCGCCAGGAACCGAGGGGCGTGCAGGGGTCTCAGGGTTGGGTGTCTTGTGGCGGGCTTCTTTCAGGAGGAAAAGAAACACACAGACACAATTATTCTCGATCCCCCAGAAAATATGGGAAAATATGGGAAGTGGTGGGGAAGACAAAAACCCAGAAAATATGGGAAAATATGGGGAATATTTCTATTTGTGTGTATTTATTTGTGTGTCCCAGGGCCCCTTTATTCTTGTGGTCGGGCCTCGGCTGTATACCGCCGGTGTATCGCCGATGCCAGGTCGAGGTTCTCCACCCCGAGCTGGTCCCCCGCCTGGCGCTGCCCATCTGGATGGGGGTCCTCATGGAAGGAGATCCTTTGGCCGATTGTGGCCTCCAGCATAGGAGCTTCCACGGCCTCCCGGTCGGAGACTGTTTCACGAGAAGCTGGCCCTGGGGGAAGGTCACGGGTCCAGGACCCGCTTCCTTCGGGACCCGCTTTCGGCTACGCGTGAGGGACCCTTCGCTGGAGTGACTTGTGGCGCGGGCTCACAGTCGGGAGGGGAAGAACACACAGACACAGTTAATCGTCGTCTCCCAGAAAAGGATGGGGAAATATGGGAAGCGGGGGGGAAGACGACAATCCAGAAAACATTTGAAAAGATGGGATATCCTGAGATTTGTGTAGATTTGTGGATATATATACATATATATATAGAGATAGATATTTGTGTGTGTGTGTGTCCCTGTGCCCCTTTACACGGGGGTCCCTCCAGCACTGGCTTGCGCGCCTGGATTTGGACTCCCCCCGCGGCCCCGTGAAGCCGCTCGCCATGGGCTACTCTTGCCTACAGTTAAGTCGGGGGTGTCCCTCTACAGGAGGAACATTCAAGTATAGTTTTAAAAAATAATCGGGGGCGATGTGTCCATCTTTTTGTTGTTGTTTTTTCTATTATGTTTGGGGGTATTTTTTATTTGTCGTCCAAACCCCCCTGTAGGGGGGCACGCCCGGCCTAAGCCTACAGCCAATACGCTGCAACGGTGAACAGCTTTTGGGTTCGGCAGGGGTTCCCATGTTCCCTGGGCCCTTCCGTGGCTGCTCTTCTGGCCATCCCTTGTGCGCGCAAGTGCTCTCGCCTCCGGTCCCTGTCCGCGGCGTACCTTTTCCTGTGCAAGCTCTTCGGCACCGCTTGCACCCCGGGCCCCGCCCGCTCCGGCCGCCTGAGGCCCCGCCCGCCTGTGCCCTGTCTCCCTAATTAGAGCTGCGCGTCGCCCGCCTAGCTTTTAGCGGAAGAGATTCGCTCTCGCCCCGCCGACCAGAAATTGTGCACGCAGGTGCTTTGGGGGGCCAACAAGGAGCTTCGCTTCTTATGTTTCGTTCCTCATTTCAGCAGCCCGACTTGCGGGACGGGAAAATGACCACAGCCACTGCTTCTTGTTTGCGTCGCCTGCCAGCTGGCCGAAAAAGAGGCAGTGGTTGTGGTCATTTCCCTGGTGCCAAGCTCAGCGAAAATGACCACAACCACTGCTTTGTTTCTGCGGGTTGGAAGGCGGCAACAAAAGAAAAGCAGTGGCTGTGGTCGTTTTCGCGCCCCGTACGACAACAGGGATATCCGGTAGCTTATCATGGGAGCCTGATATACCGTCTGAATTCCGTCTCTAGCGTCGGTTAGCGCCTGGAGTGGAGTAGATGGCGCCGATCTAACGTCGATTTAGTGTTGAGTTAGCATCGAGTTAGAATCGATGAGCGTCAAGTTAGCGTCGATCCGCAAGGGTCGACAAGATGGTATCGGAGGCTCCCATGAATTGCCACCGAATCCTCGTTTTTACTTATCGTTCCCTTTTTTTCAGCACCCCGACTGTAGGGTTACTCGTGCCGAAGGCTCGGCCCCCGTCGCAGGGGAGCTAGGAACAGAAAGCACGTGGCATAACCAGACGGGCAGGCACATCAGGCGGGTAGACTCTAACGGGCCGGTCGGGAAGGCTGGCCCAAACGGCCAGGTCGAGCAGGCGGGTTGATGAAACGTGATTCGTGCATGAATCGCGAGGAAGTCTGGAGCGATAGCGCGATCCCCAAATAAACCGCCAGGAAATCCACAGCGAGAAAATGATTCTTGAGTGTCGAGAGCGCGGCGTCTGAGTAGGTTGCGAGGAAGTCCTGTGCGAGAGCGCGATTCTTATTTAATGTGAAGGAAGTCCAGCGCGAGAGCGTGATTTGGGAATAACTTGTGTGCAAGTATGAGGCAGGAACCGCTGTTGTTGTAAATTGGAGGCGGCTCCTGAATGTTGAGAGCCCGGCGCCTGAACAAGTTGAGAGGAAGTACCACGCGAGAGCCCGATGTCTGAGTAATTTTTGTGGAATGCCCCGCCAGAGCGCGATTTTGGAATAAATTTGTGACGAAGGGCCAACAGCAAAGTTTGACTTGTTTGATTTTGTTTGATCAAAAACAGTGTGCGACCCCCTGGGGGAATTACACATGAACTTCAAACAAAAACAATGTTCACCAGAGGGGGATCAACAATATTCATTCTTCAGCAGTGAGAGTTCAGCAAAATCAGCAACATCAGCAACAGCAACAACAACATTCATGTTAAGACGGTTCGCTCCTATCTGATCGCCTGCCACTCATCACGTATATCCCGAATCTTCGAGACCCGCCCTCTTCGTCTTCGATCGTACCCCCTTCGGGGTATATCTTGCTTACCTACAACGTGCATTTCGTGCAGCACCTGAGGGAAGGAAGAGAGGACGGATGGAAGGAAGGGACAAGGGGGAGGGAGGAGGATGGAACACGATAGAAAGTAGCAGGATTAGGGCTAGGAACAGGTAACACGTGGCATAACCAGATTGGCAGATCAAGCGGGTAGACTCTAACTCTAACGGGCCGGTCGGGAAGGCTGGCCCAAGCGACCAGGTCGAGCAGGCGGGTTGATGAAGCGTGATTCGTGAATGGATCGCGAGGAAGTCTGGAGCGACAGCGCGAACCCCAAATAGATCGCGGGGGAAGCCACAGCGAGAAATTGATTCCCGAGTGTCGACGGCGCGGCGTTTGAATAAATTGCGAGGAAGTCCCACGCGAGAGCGCGATTCTCATGGAATTTGTGAGGAAGTCCAGCGCGAGAGTGCGATCTTTGAATACAGTGTATGGACGTATCAGGCGGGAACCGCTGTCTCTGTAAACCAGGGGCCAACATCCCTATTCTTAAACCCAAAATGTTGTTTGTTAAACAATAGGAGCGAGCCTCGGGGGAAGCATCCTAATTGAAGTTGCACCATGTGCCCCGGAGGGGGGAAACCACAATGATCATTCTTCAGTAATGAGAGTTCAACAGCGCTCCCGCTCGCAACGTCCTCCTTTTCTACTCGGATCTGGGGCTCTTGCTCGCCGCCGAATGCGCCCGTGCGCACGCGGGCGCCGGGACATGCCGCCGCCGCCGCCGCCGCCGCCAAACCTCCCGCCGTAGATGTAAGGCCGGCGCCCTCTGAGAGGCAGGCTCCTTCTAAGAAGCCGTCCCCCCTCCCCCCACCCCCTGTGCGCGCCGCCGAGTTACGGCCTCGAGGTGCTCGTCCGCCCGACAAGAGCTGCCCCTGTCTTGCCCGACGCTGCAGCCACAGATGCAACGTCGCAGAGAGCCCCGACCAGACCCCATTTTTATTTGTCATCGCTCGAGCCGCATCGATCTGGGAGGGTCCCAGGACCAGGACTCAGGCGAAAACGCTCGTTGTGACCAAAATTGCGCCGCCTGGATCTCAGGTCAAGGTGTCTGATGGCCCTCCTGGCCCAAGGTGCCCTCGGCTTTTCGCTCCGTCTCGGAGGCTCTGGGGCCCTCTGGGCCTCGTGAGGGGTGCTGGGGAGGCCGTGGGGACCTCCTTGCAAATCCTGAGGGCACCCTGAGCCAGGGGCACTTCTGGCAACGCCCGGTTCAGGAGCGAGAGGAGCACGTACAGGTACATGAACCCACGTAGTCTCCGAGAGCGCGCGTTGCGTCAGCGTTCGCACCACGAGGCTGGTCTCGCGGCCTGGGGGTCCGAGTTCATGCGGTTGGGCGCGTACGGTAGGTTCGTGTCGTGTCGACCGGCGGCGACCCCGCCAGCGGCGTTCAACCTTCGGCGTTCAACCTTGAACGCCGCGGGCGACCCAGAATCGTTCGATGTGGAACGATTTGGACGTTTCGGAAACGGCCGATCGTTCAAGGTTGAACGATCCCCGCGGTGTCAGAAACCAACGCCGGGGTCGACACGACGCGAACCTGCCGTACGTCCTTTGTGGGCTGCCTGTCGGCCCAGGCGCCCCCGCAGTGGCCGCCCGGGCGGCGCCCGTCGTCGTCGTCGTCGTCGTCGTCGTCGTCGTCGTCGTCGTCGTCGTCGTCGTCGGCGGCGCTCGCCCCATGATCTCTGGCGCGCCGCGCGCGGCCCCGCCGCGGGCGCCAGGGCGCGCGCCAGGGCCGTGGCCCGCGGGCCGCGCGCCCGGCCGCCGGGCGGCCGCCGCGGGCCGCCCGCGGCCGCGGGTGCCGCCCCCGCGCGGGGCGCGCGGGCCGCGGCGCCGAGGGCGCGGACCGCGCGGCGCCGCGCCGTGGAGGGCGGCCAGCTGGAGGCTCCCAGACGACGCCGACGACGACGACGCCGACGACGACGAGCCGACGACGACGACGACGACGACGACGACGACGCTGACGCCAACGCCGACGCCGACGCCGCCGCCGCTGCCGCCGCCGCCGCCGACGACGACGACGACGACGCCGCCGCCGACGCCGACGCCGCCGCCGCCGCCGACGATGACGACGACGACGACGACGACGACGACGACGACGACACCGACGGCACTGACGACGACGTGGAGGGCGGCCAGCTGGACGCTCAAAATCATAGCCGGCTGATCTCTTGGAGCCAAAGGAGGGGTCGCCTGCGAGCTTGCAGACGCCCTGGTCGCTTCTTTGGCCCCTCTCCTATGGCTCGGACCAACGAGGATCCCGAGTTCATCTCTTTGGGCGGTTATGTCCACGTTGCGTGCACTTCGCTGTTGCCTTGGTTGCCGAGCACGCCAGGGTGAGTGTTGTCTGGCCTCTGGCCTTCGCGCGCCAGCTGGAGGCCCAATATCATAGCTGGCTCAAAATCAAAAGAGGCATCATGGTCTCATCATTGTCCGTTCTCGTTGGCATTCATTTCTCATGCGTAGCAACATGTCCTCCCCTCGCGTCGTGAAGCAAATGCGGTGTAGTGCCAATCTAGCGAGGATTCAGCGTCGATGAGGGTCGATCGGCGCCGGGTTGACGCTGATTGGCGTCGACTTGGCGTCGAATTGGCGTCGACTAGCGTCGGTCTGCGTCGGTTCCCGTCGATCCGCGAGAGCCAGCAAGACCGCTTCGGACAGTCCAGTTCGGCTCGCCCCACTCCCCTCCCCCCCCCCTTCCCAGAGCCCCTCGCCTCGTGATGAGATCGCGACTGGAGGTTCTTGGCGATCGTCAGCTCTCGGGGGGATGATTCGGAATCAGATTCTGTATGTATCAGCCCTGTAGCTGTCCTGTAGCTCGAGTTAAGTACAGAAAATTGAGAGCGTCTGTCAAGATGACTCGAATAATACGAATAGGTTTGCGGACCTCTCTCGATTCGACAGGCGAACGCGCCTGCTCATTCTGAATCGATTAGCTGTGCTTACCAGCTCTGTAGCTGTCCATCCTCACCGGGCCTCGGGGCCGTCAGAAAACACAACGGGCGCGGGCTGAGAAACCGGCCCCGGGGAGCGGGTCGAGAGACCCGCGGGGGCCTGCGCCGTGAGAAGGTCATCAGGAGGAGGAGGAGGAGGAGGAGGAGGAGGAGGAGGAGGAGGAGGGGTCTGCAGGCGGCGCTCCCGGCCCTGCCGGAGCCCGCGCTCGGCGCGCTCCTGCTGGGCGCCCTCGCATTGGCCGGCGCAGCCCCGGCGCGGCGCGGGAGGGGGCCCCGGGGCCAGGATCGGCGGCAAGCGAGGGGGGGAAGTGAGAAGGAGAAGGGCTTCTCAGAAGGCGGTGGGACTTCTCAGAAGTCCTTGCGGCTTCTGAGAAGTTTTTTGTGTCTTCGGGGAAGGCTTAGAGAACTTCTCAGAAGTCTGGGGGACTTCCGAGCCTTCTGAGAAGGCCCGCCCCTTCTCACTTCCCCCCCTGGCTCGCCGCCTACAGGAGTCGAGCAGTGGCGAAACGTCTTGGCTCAGGCCCACCAAAGAATGAGAACTTGTGGTGGTCTGCACGGCATGTGGACACGTCTGGCTGGGACTTGTGTGTTTGGACACTTCGGGCTTATGTTCTACGAATCGTGTTGTGGTCCTTCGAACATTTCCGGATGCTAAGAACATGTCGTGGTAGGCCTCTAGGGATGCCGTGCTGGTCGGTCCCTGCTCCAGGAGTACGGGGCGCTCCGGGACCCCGAGATGCAGAAGGTGGCCATGGAGTTCTCCACGGGCGGCACGGTGCTGGTGCGGGCGCCCATGGGCGGCGGCTCCGGCGAGCTCGCCGTCACCGCGCACCCGGCGGGCCCAGCGCGCGGCGGCCAGGTGGAGCTGGGCGGCCAGCGCGAGGAGTGGCGGGTGCTGCGGTTTCGCCCCGGCGAGGCCCAGGCCGACAGCTACATCCAGTCCATCGCGCGGGTCTCCGTCGGCCCGGGGCCGAGCGCGAGGCAGATCGGCAGCTGCCTGCCGCTGGTGTACGCCAGGTCCATGGTGGCAGTGTCCCTGGCCGCGCTCGCCGTCATTGGTGCCCCCCTGCTCACGCCAGGGAGGCCCCTGAGGGTCCTGTGCATCGGCCTCGGAGGCGGCGCCCTGGCCTCCTTCCTCGCGCAGGCCGTGCCGCACTGCAGGGTCGACGCCGTGGAGCTCAGCCCCGAGGTGCTGGCGGCGGCGCGGGAGGGGATGGGGTTCGCCGAGGGTCCGCGCCTCCGGGCCATCCTGGGTGACGGCGCGGCCGTCGCCAGGGGAGCCGCCGAGGGCGCAGAGGACATCGGGGAGGCGGCAGAAAGCATGGCTTCTGATTTTGGCATCGCTCGGGCGTGTGCATGCTCGGGGGGGGGGGCGGTGATCGTCGTGGAGCATCCTGGATCTTCGAGCACACTGCCCTGACGATGTACCCGTCCCTTGCGCAACGCATGGCCAGAGCAGCTGGGCAGACTTAATAGGGGGGTGGCATCGTGGCAAGGGGATACTTCTAGGTTCTGCGAACGTAATATGGGAGGCTCGCGAGGAGCTGCAGCCCGCAGGACACCGATCAATGGACACGGGCTGGATGGAGGTGATTAGTTGGTTCCTTGGGTCGAGGGGGAGGCGGGGCGAGGACCAAGAAGAGAAGGCGGACAGGGAGATTGAATTGTAAGTGGGGCAGCAGCATGGGGACATGGCACCAGCACGAGAGTGACGACAATAGACGGTCAGAGGAAGGGTGGAGATGATGTTTCGAGGTCTGTCAGCAATCGGCCTTCGAAAGTGGCGACAGTTTCGCAGATCGCACCCCCCCCAGGGATGGAGAGGTCGAACCTGAATTTGCGTAAGACGTCACTCCGCTGGAGTCCCCATCAGCCCTGGAATACGGCGACAGTTTCGCAGTTCGCACCCCCCCCAGGGATGGCGAGGTCCCGCTCTGATCTGCAAAGCACCACACTAAGTTCCCCCCCCCTCCCCAGCAGCCCACGAAAGTGCCAACAGTCTCGCAAATCTCAGCCCCCCAGGGATGGCGAGGTCTTGACTGAGTCAGCGTAAGACGTCACTCCGCTGGGCCCCCAGCAGCCCTCGAAAGTGGCGACAATCTCGAAGCCCCAGAGATGGCGAGGTCTCGCTCTGACCTGCGCACCACCGCACTAAGCTGGCACCCCCCAGCAGCCCTTGAAAGTGCCGACAGTTGCGCAGATCGCGGCCCCCAGGGACGGCGAGGTCGAATCTGAATCTGGCTAGGGCCCCACTGTGCTGGCCCTCCCCAGCAGCCGTCGAAAGTGCCGACAGTTGCGCAGATCGCGGCCCCCAGGGACGGCGAGGTCGAACCTGAATCTGGCTAGGGCCCCACTGTGCTGGCCACCCCCTAGCAGCCGTCGAAAGTGCTGACAGTTTCGCAGGTCGAACCCCCCTAGGGATGGCGAGGTCGAATCTGAATCCGAATGGGGCCCAATTGGGCTGGCCCTCCCCAGCAGCCCTCGAAAGTGTCGACAGTTTCGCAGATCGCAGTCCCCCAGGGATGGCGAGGTCGAGTCTGAATCCGAATGGGGCCCCACTGTGCTGGCCCCCCCAGCAGCCTTCGAAAGTGCTGACGGTTTCGCAGATCACAGCCACCCAGGGATGGCGAGGTCAGGAGCAAGTACGAGAAAGGTTGGAGACAAGAGGAGAGAGAAAGAGAGAGAGAGAGAGAGAAGGAGAGAGAGCCAAGGAGGGAGGCGGGAGGAGGAGCAGCAGGAGGAGAAGGAGGTGGAGACCACAGTGCCCTAGCCAGAACGAACAGCCAGCAACAGAGGGCCGGGAAGCAGCACGCGCGACGCCGGACCGTGCGCGGGGAGCGGACGACCGAGCGCTGGGGCAGTAGTGCGTTTGGGTTGGCCACGGGCCCCGCCTCCACGCAGAGTCGGCGCGCCCCGTCTCGCCGGGCCAGGCTCAGGAGGGGAAAAAACACACGGAGACACAGTGAGTCCTCGGTTCCCCCCCAAAATGTAGGAAAATATGGGAAGTGGGGGGGAAGACAGAAGCCCAGAACATATGGGAAAATCATGGGGAGTTCTTTTATTCGTGTGCATTTATTTGTGTGTCCCAGGGCCCCTTCACAGACGGCACCCTCGCCTTCTGTTCCCCGGGGCCGCCCTCCTCGCTCCGAGGATCGGGCGCCCGCGCGCCAGATCCACGGATGCTCACTTCGAGCGCGATGATCATCGCCCCCCGATCCGCGGGGGGGAATTGGGGGAAGAAAAAGAGGACGAGGCGAAAGGATATATACATATATGTTTATGTATATATATATATAGATATATAGAGGGGGGGGGGGCTGGAGGAAGAGGAAGAGGCTATATCGGATATAGCGTTCTTGATCCTCGCGACTGTATGCGTGACTCCCGCGAAGACGAAAAAGGTCGCAACACCACCACCTCAGACCTCTCCTGGGCGACAGGGGCTGCATCAAACTGGCATGTCCTGCAAGCCTTTCGTGCTGTCGCTGAGGACGTTGGTTCCAGCTACTCTCCCCGCAATTGTGGCGAGCACCAGTGTTGTAGCTGATGACCGCATGCTGAAGCTGGCCCCAGCGCTGTAGCTGATTACATCGGGCTTTAGCTTCGGCTTCCAATCAGCGCTGTTGTCAGCCAGTTTGGGCTCCAGCTTCGCCTCCCGGAGCCGCCTACCGCTGTTTTTCCTTCTGGCACGCCCAGATTCCAGCGTTGTAGCTGACATCGGGTACCAGCTTCGCCTTCCTGATCGCGCAGCGTGGCTGCAGTGATGGCCGCCGCTGCTCGCCCTCCTCGCACGACTTCGGTCTCCATCTACGTGCGCACCCCGACCCCCGCATTGCAGCTGGCATCCGACATCGGACGCGTGGCTTCGCCTCCCACAGATTTCAGGAGGGGAGAAAACACACAGACACAATTAATCGGCGATTCCCAGAAAATATGGGAAAATATGGGAAGTGGAGGGGAAGACAGAAACCCAGAAAATATGGGAAATATGGGGAATAATTTTATTTGTGTGTATTTCTTTGTGTGTCCTGGGGCCCCTTCATCCCTGCACTGCAGCTGCTGCTCTCGGGCTACAGCCTCGCCAGCCTCCCTTCGGCGCCAGGGACGTCGGCCACGGGCTGCCTTCCCGCAGCCTCGCCCCCCGCCTCCCACAGCATCTTTCTCTCAGGAGGGAAAGAAACACACACAGACACAATTAATCGTCGACTCCCAGGAAAATATGCAAAAATATGGGAAGTGGTGGGGAAGACAAAAACCCAGAAAATATTGGAAAATGTGGGGGATATTTTTATTTGTGTGTATTTCTTTGTGTGTTCCAGTTCCCCTTCATTCTCACACGCTGTACTCCGCGTTGTTGTTGACGAGCTCGGGCTCCAGCGTGGCCTCTCGCTTCTCGCAGAGCAGTGTCGGAACCGCCTGCCGCTGTTTGCCGCCATCGTCGCACGCCTCGATCCCAGCGCCGCAGATGATGCCATCGGGCTTTCGCTTCGCCTTCCACCTCTTGTCAAGTAGCGGAAGAGCGTGCTGCCGTTGCGCACTCTTCTCGCACACGCTCGGGCTCCAGCTTCGCTTCCCACGTCTCGCAGGGTAGTGTCGGAGCCGCCTGCCGCCGTCCGCCCTTTTCGCACGCCCTGATCCCACTGTTGTGACTGATGGCATCAGGCTTTGGCCTCGTCTTCATCGGCAGATCCTGCCGCCGCTGCCCGCCCTTTTTCGCAGCACGTCCTGATCCGAAGTGGTGCTGCAGCCGATGACGTCGAGCTTTGCCTTCGCCTTCCACGGCAGAGCCTGCAGCCGCTGCTCGCCTTTCTCACCGCACGCCCCAGGGCTGATTTCGATTGCCCCGATTCGATTCGATTCGATTTCGATGGATTCCGATTCCGATTCGATTCGACTTGGGATTCCGATTTGGGTTCCGATTTCTCACTGGATGCGTACAAGCCTGCCGAATTCAGCCGATTCGATTCCTTCCGACTTGGCTGCCGATCTCCGCCGATCCGACTAATTTCGATCGCCGATTCGACTCACCGATTCGATTCTGGGCTCTCTTGCGCCCTCATCCAAGCGCTGTAGCTGATGGCGTCGGGGTGTGGCGTCGCCTTCCACGGCAGGGCCTGCGGTTACTGTCCGGTTGCCGCACGTTTGATCCCAGCGCTGTGGCTCATGACAATGGGCGTTGCGCCTCGGTCCAAGCGCTGTACACCTTAGGCGATGGTTAAGAAAACCAAAGTTTTCGGCCAGAGTCTCGATTATTCTTAATGTTTCCATGTACATCCTAAGCTTTCGATGGAAATTCTGGGCTTCTACTCAAGTTCTGAGACTATGAATTTCTTAACCCATGATTTCTTAAGCATTTCGCAGGGTGTAGCTGATGACGTCGGGGTGTGGCTTCGCCTTCCGCGGCAGGGCCTGCGGTTACTGTCCGGTGGCCGCATGTTTGATCCCAGCGCTGTGGCTCATGACAATGGGCGCTGCGCCTCGGTCCAAGCGCTGTAGTTGATGTCATCAACTACATCGCCTGGACCCAACGTCATCATGACGTTGGGCTATGCGTTTCCCTCCGTTGGCTGCCGCTCGTCACACACGGCTGTCAAGCGCCGTTCCCGCGCTGTCCTGCATCGAGTCGCACTCGACGCAGGTGTATGTGAAGGAGGTGCGTTCTCGGGTGAGTGTCTGGATGTCGCCATGGAGGATGACTGCTACCGAGCGCTCCTGATGGCGGGTCGAGAGGCTCGGAATCGCGCGGACGTGTTCATGTTCTCGCGGCGAGCACCATCGAGGAGCATCGTGGAACATCTCGCGAAACACAAACGCACGAAGTTGAACAACGCACGGAGAGTGGACGTCCGAGCGATGGCAGGGAGGGGGAAGGAGAAGGAGAGCAGTTGCCATCAGCGGCTGCGTACTCTGGTGGGGCCCCGTCCCAGCGTTGCAGCGGATGACGCTGCGCACCACCATTCTTGATGACGAGCGATAGCACACAAACCCGTACCCATGGGGGGGGGCGGCGCGGCGGGCTGTGGGTGTGTGTTGTCGGACGGGGGTCCCCGCTCTAACGGGAGCCCCCCCCCTGGGGTCTGGTAACTGGCAACCATACCCACAGCCAGTCCTTCTCCCTTCGACCCCCCTATGGTTAGGGGTGTGTGTGTGTGTGTTGTTCGTTCGTCAGCATTGCCACTCCTAAGGTTGCCGACGCAACTCGGGACCCCCTCCGAGAGGAATGGTTGAGGAGGAGGAGTAGGGGAGGGGGAGGCGGTGGAGGAGGAGGAGGAGGGAGGGGGGAGAGGGATGGGCAAGCTCCGTCGGAAGGGCAGTCCTTCCCCAAATAGGTACGCCATCCGAAGTAGTCCATGTTAGCGAGCGCCCAAGAGGAGGATGCAGGTGCGTACGATGCTGTCCTGATCGACGCCGCCGACGAGAGGGGCCGGGTGCCCGATGTGTTCCTGGCACCAGACGGCGACTTTGCCAGCGTGAAGTCGGGCCTGTCCCTCTACAGGAGGAGCATTCAAAAACAGTCAAAGGATCGTCAGGGGACGACTTTCTAGTACTTCTAGTACTTCTGATTCTCTTTTGAATCTGTGTATGGGGTATGTTTTATGGTTCGTCCAACATCCGCCTGTATGGGGGACACGCCCGACCTCACGCCAGCGCGCTCTCGGGGGGCCTGCTGGCGCGGAGGGCCGGCCTGGTGGCCGTCAACCTGCAGCCCGAGGACGACGCGGGGCGCGCGCTGGGCTCCTGGGCGCGCGCGCTGGCGGAGAGGGGCGCAGGCACCTCCCGCCGAACACGTGGCTGCAGAGTGCCTTTTCTCGGCGGCGAGCGAGGGGGGGAAGTGAGCAGGAGAAGGCCTTCTCTCGAAGAAGCAAAAATCAGAGGCCAGCAACATATGTACGCGTACGCGGTTCGCTTCCCCTGGAGTGCGTGTCGACGCGGACGTTCGTGCAGGCAAGACCGCGGAGGGCGTACATGTACATATGTCGTTGCTCGCCCAAAGAAGCACATGGCATAAACTTTTGGCGCTCCGCGCGGATCTCTAAGATCCGCGCCCGGGCCCCGTTGGCGGCGCCTCTGGCGCCGCCCTTGGCGCGCTCCGCGCGCCAGGGAGGGGGGCACAGCGGGAATCCAAGAGATCCGCGCGGAGCGCCAAAAGTTTGTGTTTATGTGGTTTTTACTTTTTCTATTCTCAGAAGGTGGCGGGACTTCGCAGACTTCCTCGAGGCTCGAACTTTGAGGTTCGAACTTCGAGGTTCGATGTTTTCAGGCGTGTTCGTCGGTTCTCGGCGATTTTCCACCCTCGGGGTGCGTTCCAGCGGCTGCGCCTCGCCGAGGGCGTTCCGGGGGTCGCGAACGCCCGCCAGGCACCGGAGTTAGGACCCCAAATCCACATACGGCGGCGAGCGAGGGGGGGAAGGGAGAAGGAGAAGGCCTTCTCAGAAGGCGGCGGGATTTCGCAGGACGCTCGTGCCTTCCTGAGGAGCCTTCTGTGCCTTCGGGGGAGGCTCAGAGGACTTCTCAGATGGCCGGGGGACTGCCGGGCCTTCCGAGAAGGCCCGTCTCGCTGTCACATGTCTGTGAGCGGGGTGCACGGCTTGGCGGGCCGAGGGGGGGGGTGGGGAGGGGGAGCAGCAGGGGCAGCAGCGGGAGCACGAGCGGCTGGAGCCGCGGCCGTTTGCCCCGCTGGCCGGGGCCCGAACAAGAGCCATATCTGAGCCTCGAGCGGCCGAAGCCGTGAGCAAACCACGGCGTCGTGACCGACAGCCACAGCCGTCAGTATCGCCGAACCGATCCCTGTCCCCATCCCCATCCCGAGCCCCACCACCCTGCCGGCCCAGGTGGGGATACACACCCCTCGAAACCCGAAGGAAACTCAGCCCATGCATCCCCATCTAGGGAGGCACATCGGCCGGCGGGACCAAGGCCGCCACGCCCACGGGGATAGCTGTTGGGTGGTCGAGCGACACTCACGGGAGGGGGGGGGGGGGGCGGGGGAGGGGCTGGGCGGGGCAGAGGGGGGCCTTGCCCTCTGACACGGCACGTGGGGCCGCTGAGACCTCGGAGCGCGCCCCTCCGAGCAGGCCCCTCGGCGGGCGGGCCCGCGGGAGGGGCGCGAGGGGGGGGGGCCTCCTCGGAGGCCCCCCGGCGGAGGGCCCCGCCTGGCAGGCCTCGGGCGGCCGAGGCCAGCCTGCGGGGCCACGACGCCGCGTCCTCCTCCTCCTCCTCCTCCTCCTCCTCCTCCTCCTCCTCCTCCTCCTCCTCCTCCTCCTCCTCCTCCTCCTCCTCCTCCTCCTCCTGCACGGCGGGCGCTCGCCGCCTCGGCGGCGGCGGCGGGCGCCGGTTCTCGCGAGAGAGCGGGGGCCCCGGGCACTCTCCGAGAGCCCCATGGGCGGTGCAGGTCCGAGACCGGGGGGGGCCTCTGAGGGGGTCCTCTCGGGGGCCTCTCGGGGGGGCCTCTCGGGGGGCCTCTCGGGAGCTGCTCGGTGCCTCTCGGGGGGCCTCTTGGGGCCGTCTCGGAGACCTCTTGGGGGCCTCGGAGGCCCTCTTGGGACTATCTTGGAGGGTATCGTGCCGCCCCTCGGGAGCCCAACGATCGCCTCTTGGGGCCTTCTTGGAGCTCTTGGACGCTCTGGGGGTCTTCTTGGGGCCATCTTGGAGCCACTTTGGGCTCCTCTTGGGGCCATCTTGTGCCCTCTTGGGGCCATCTTGATGCTTCGGAGGGCCATCGGAAGCCAAAAGTCGAGAAGGCTAACATTATTGATTTACACATGGTTTTGCAGGATTCTGATTTTCTTGGCGGCTTCCTTCGGATGCTTGTTGGCCACTTGGAGCCGTCTTGGGGCGGTCTTGGGACCTCTTGGAGCACGGCATGTTGGAAGCCATCTTGAGCCATCTTGGAGTATCGTGGGTCATCTTGGAGGCCATCGTGGACTCTCCGAGGTCCTCTTGGAGCCATCTTGGGCCATCTTGGACGCTCCAACGCGTTGCTCTCCCCCCCGTCCAGGTCAGGGGGGAGGGGGAGGGGGAGGGGTAAACCTTTTTCCCGAAGGGGATAAAGGGGGTTGGACGAGAACGCGATCTAGACCACGTACGCCCAGAGGGCTGGTGGGATTTACAACTGATCGTGGCCTTTGGGGCGCGCACCTGGTGTAATTTACGAGAAATCATGGCCTAGGTCGCGCGAAGATTATCTAATCTATACTGGGCCGCGGCCTTGGGGTCGCGAAGCTGGCGTAATGTACGAGGGATCGTCACCTCGGGGGCACGGATCTGGGGTAATTTATCAGGGATCGTGGCCTCGGAGCGCAAACAATGATTCATTTACGCGGGATCGTGGCCTCGGGGGCGCGAGCCTGGCGTAAATTACGAGGGATAGTGGCCTCGGGGTGCGCGAATCTGTTGTAATGTGCTAGGGATCCTGGCCTTGGGGGCGCGAGCTATGTATAGCTTGCACGGGGAAGTAGCCTCGGAGGCGCGAAACTTGTGTAATTTACAAGGGATCGTGGCCCCGAAAGACAGTCGCCCAGGAGCCCCTGCGAACGAGCTCCTGGCAGATTTTTCCGCTCAGGAGGAGCTCGTCCTCGGGGGAGGGGTGCCCCGAGATCCCCCCTTCCGAGAACAAGCCCCCCGCAGATGTCTGACCTTCGGGAGCTCGATCTCGGGGGGCTTCCCCCAGGGGGGCCCCCGAGAACGAGCTCCTGGCTGCCTCCGGTGTATTCTCCCCGAGAGCGGGCTATCAGTTTGGGAGCTGGCCGGTCGGGCGGCGGAGCTGCCCCCCTGGAAAGCAAGAGCTCACCGGTTTGAAACACATCCCTATCCCTATGTTTGACATCACCTCGCCTCGATGCCGATCTTGAGGATTCCCTCAGTTTCTCTGAGGGCCTATCCCTAAGATTGCCCTCGCTTTTTGCTCGCCCATCTTACACCTCAGGCGATGCTCAAGAAAACTTAAATTTTCGGCCAGAGTCTCGATTATTCTTAATGTTTCAATTTCATTCCCAAGATTTTGATATAATTTCTGGGCTTTGGTTAAATTCTGAGACTACGAATTTCTGAACCCATGATTTCTTAAGCATTTCGCAGGGTGTAGGGATAGGGACACGCTCGAGGCTGGTGCAGAGCTCTCTTCGGAGCGAGCGCAGCGCATGCCTCGCAGCGGGATGTGCTCCCACAGAAGGATCAGGAGGGAAATAAACACACAGACAAAATTAATCGTCGACTCCCAGGAAAATATGCAAAAATATGGGTAGTGGTGGGGAAGACAAAAAACCCAGAAAATATGGGAAAATATGGGGGATATTTTTATTTGTGTGTATTTATTTGTGTGTTCCAGTTCCCCTTCAAAGGAGGGGCCGGCCCCCTCGGGAGAGCGCGCCGGCCGTCGTGGGTCTCTGTGCCCACGGTCCGCGTCGAGGCGCCACCGTGCGCCATCGAGGCGGGTGCGAATGCTCAGGCAGTGGCGGAGCGTCCCGGCTCGCCTATATCAGGAGGGAACACAAGACACAGACACAATTAATCGTCGACCCCCAGGAAAATATGGGAAAATATGGGAAGTGGGGGGGAAGACAAAAACCCCGAAAATATAAGAAAATATGGGGAATCCTTTTATTTGTGTGTATTTATTTGTGTGTCCCAGGTCCCCTTCACTATAGCCCCACCAAACAGTGTTCTAAGAACCTTTTGTGGTATGCACGAAATGTTCTTATAGAACATTTCTGGCCGGGACCGTCGTGTTTTAACACGCTGGGTTTATGTTCTAAGAACCTTGTTTTCGTTCTTTGAGCATGTTCGGGTTCTAAGAACATTTCGTGGTAGGACTGTAGGAATGCCGGGACGGTCGCTCCCTGCTCAAAATACCCAGTGACGGGCACGCCGGCCAGCGCGCCGAGAGGCGGCCGGCGAGGGGCAGGCAGGAGCGCAGCTCCCGCGCGGGTGGGTCGCAGGAGGGAGGCAGGAAGGCGCCGCCTGGCCGCAGCCCACTGAGTAGTTGCCCGTGCGCCCCAGAACCCCTCGAGTCGGGATCAGAATCACGACGGGAGGTTTTTCAGTATTTTCTGCCTCTGGAGGCCCTTATCGGGCTTCGGGCCCGTCAGAAAACGGCTCAGGACGAAAAACCAGTCCCGGGGAGTGGGTCGACCCTTCTGGGGCTAGACGTTATGAACGAAGTCATGGCGTCGATGGCGTGGGTACCCGTCGGGGTGGCGCTGATCCAAGCCAGGGACGGGCTTCTGCATCCGGGAGCCCAGCCTCACTCTGGACGGCTTCGAGGCGCCGGGAACCGGCAACATCGTTGCCGTGCAGCTGTGCGGCGAGCGGGCCGCGGTGCCGAAGGGAGAGCTGCCCGCCAGGCTGGCCGCGGCCGCTGCGGAGGTCCAGGCCGCCACCTCGAGCCCGTACGACCTGGCGGAGCTCGCGGTCAACGAGCTGGAGTGACGCCGCCGCGGGGCGGCCGTCGCTGCGGCGGGCGCGCCGCTGGGGCTGCTGCGGTTGGTGAGCTGCTCGCCGGGCAGGCCGCGGCCGGCACCCGCGGAGGTGCGCGGGTGCCGTCGCCCGTCGAGCCCGTGCGGCCCGGCGGTGCCCTGGCGGTCAGCGAGTGGCGGATGGCAGGCGTCAGCCGCTGCGGCGTGGGGCTTTGGTGCGTGCGCGCCCCAGGCATGTCGGCGCGGCTGGACAGTGATTATTCATCGGCTGACGCCGCACCGCCGACCCCGTGGGGCGGCAGCAAGAGTGAAAAGCGGAGTTTGCGGAACGATTTCTGGGGAATCTTGGGGTTGGCAGCTTCTTGGGATTTCGTCGGGGGCGGTTGGCGGATCGCCGCTGGCCCTCCTGGCAGCACGTTTGAGGCCTCTTGGGAGTCGTTTTGAGGCCTCTTGGAGCCTCTTTTGGGCCTCTCGGGGGCCTCGTGGGAGCCTCTTGGGGGCGCTTCTTGGCGCCTCCTCCGGTTTTTTCGTGGCCGAGTGCTCGAAATGTTCCCTCGGGTCCGTCCTGGGGCCCTCCCGGGTCCCTCCTCTTGGGGCCGTCCTGGAGGCCTCCTGGGTCGGCTTGTGAGCTTCTGGGGCCGTCTTGGGGCCCTCTTGGGCCGTCTTGGAGCCCTCTCGGGGGCCTCTTGGGTTATCTTGGGTCGAACTTAAAAAGGCTTCTTGGGCCGTTGTGGGCCTCGTGAAAGCCCCAGAGGCGAATGTGCTAAAAACAACAAATATATATTTCTCCCAGCGTCCGGGGGGCCTTTTGGGGCCCTCTTGGCCCGCCTTGGGACCCCCTGAGGCTCCAAGGGTGCGGCTGACACCTTTGCCCCCCCCCCCCCCCCCAATCGGCCGGACCAGGCTCCAAAGTGAAAAAGTTAAGAAAACAAATCATCTCACACGCCGTGACCCCAAGAAGTCGGCGGATTTACTCGCTTCGCTCATTCCGCCGGCCCTGTTCGCATGCCTGCTGGTTGGTGGTGCTGCAAGACGGATCAAGAGGGCTGCAGCAGAGTTTCGAGACGCACCCAGACAGTTTAGCAGGGTTGCGGAAGGTCTCCACAAGGTCTCACGGAGTGCAGGACTGCCCTAGCAGAAAAGTCTCAGGCCCGTCTGGGGGTGTTTTGGGGCGATCTTGGTGGCCTCTGGGGCCGTCCAGGGCGGTCGGCAGCCCGAAAAGGTGGTACCGCCAAAATCGCCTGAAAACCCAAGCGAAATCGAAGATTGTATCTTGGGGACGTCTCGAAGTCCTCCAGGAACCCTCCTGGGGCGTCTTGGGCGCTTCTCGTTCGTCTTGGGATCAACCTGGGCCATCTTGGAACTTTGTTCTCCTGAGGCCATGGGACTTGCCACCCATTTGGCGCCTCAATGGGGCGCTGTGGGAGCACCCGAGGCCGCGCGAAGGAGTTCCAGCATCTCTGATCCGGACCCTGCCGTGGACCCCCAGGGCCTACCACGCGCGCGTGAATTCGTGACAGTCATTGACTCTTGCCATTATTAGCACGTCTCTGGCCCGCTGGGCCGGCGAATTTACAAGTCCACATTCGTTCCACAATGCAAGTGAGTTTCGCTCTGTGAGCGGCCAGGAGGCCAGCCAGAGACGTACGAGGTTTGGATATGGTGAGTCCTATTGTCGAACACGTTCGCGGAAGTTTCACCCGCTGTGGCATTGTAGTCTTTTACATACAGTCGGGGCCAGGAACATGTTCATTCTGTTATGATATTGTTGTCAACCGCTTGGTGGCAGAGTGCGGCCCAAGCACAGCGCATACATGAATGTCAACTTGAGCGACGCAAAAAAATGGGGTCGTCTGCGCCGACATTTGTGCGTAAGCTGCCCGCGTAAGGTCGCGCGTGAGCGCCCTCTTCTCCAAAGTGACGTGCCGCGCCGGCGGCCCGCGTAAGCCACCGCGTAGGTTTGCCACGCCATCTCGCGTAAGACCCGTTTTTTATCGTCGCTCACCTGTCGCCAAGAGAACCCGCCGGAAACTCCTGCACCGTGCGTTGTCTTGTGGCGTCTTTACAAAGCCCCGCAGGGGACGCGCGGCTCCCATACCTCTGCGCCCAGCCCATTGCTCGGCAGGCTGGCCGCAGCCGCCCTGGAGGTGCGGGGCACGCTAGTTACCATCCTCCGTGTGGTGGGCTGGAAGCGCAGTGGCGGCCAGCGACGAGCAGAGAGAGAGGCCTGCCAGATGGGGCCCAGGTGGGTGCGGGGTCGGCGAGGCATCGGCGACGTCGGCGATGCACCGGCGCTGTCGGCGATATCTGTGCACTGCGGCCTGGCGGCACCGCCGGTCGGTGGGCTAGCGCAGTGTCGGCCGGCGCCGTGGCAAGGAGGAGCGAGCAGCTCGGCGCAAGGCCTTCTGCGAGTTCTGCCCGCGCGGTTCCGCAGAGCCCGCCTCATCAGGGCTGGGGCTGGTCAGGGGTAACCGGTTTGTGCGTCGGGAGCCCAAGCCGGAGTTGCCCCAGACTGGAGTTATCCCAAATAATTCGGGCGCCCAACCATTCAAGCATCATCGGGGCTGGGGGCGGTCAGGGGTAACTACTAGTTTGTGCGGCGGAGCCCACACCAGAGTTATTTCGGATCAGAGTTTTTCTGGATCATTCGGGCGGTCCAGTTGGCGCCGCCGGGATGTCCCCCTGCATGGGTGCAGCGCTCGTCAGAGCATGGACCCCCGCTGGTGTTTCAAATTGTGATGTAGGGAGGTACGGACTCAGCGGTATTGAACAATTGTTGGTTGAAGGTGCACATTGTGGATACTTGCCTCCACGTGCGAATACATAGTATTCTTGAATGCCCATGGTGGCTCAACTGAAATGTGGTGTCATGGCATACAATATAGACTCCAAGCTCTGCCTAGGTTTCACGGTTATGCGGCGCTGTATTCCGATCGATTATTTGACCACAGGTGTTGTTGTCAGGGTGGGAAGAAAAACCAAAGTTTTTCAAATGGCTGCCCAGCAGGATTGGGTTCACACGCATTTCGGAGGCCTAGAGTCTGACACCAACACCAATATCGGCGGTGTTCCTCCACCGAGGGACGAAGATCCCGATCTCGGTGATAGTGGTAATATTCTGGCTTCTGAGGTGACCGAAGTAGCACTACCAACACCGAAACCTAGGATCATCTTCCCCCCGTGGAGGTACCCCCCTGTGTTGTTGGTGCCCATTTCCAGGCCTCCAAGCATTTGCTTGGTGATTCAGGACGTAGAATAGGATCTGTTGTGATCTGCCTCGCATTTGCGATAGCTCCTCCTCCTCTTCCTCCGCCTCCTCCTCCTCCTCCTCCTCCTCCTCCTCCTCCTCAACGTCTTCCTCCTCTTCGTGTGTTCCTTCGGCCCCACTTACCCTCCCTCCATCCCTCCCCCCTTCCCCTTCCTTTCAGTCTTCCACTTCTCTCTCCCCAGACTTTGAAGAGGAACTATCGCCGTAAACATACTTTGAAGAGGAACCATCAACTTTTGGCGCTCCACGCGGATTTCTTGGATCCGCGCTGGCCCCCCCCCGGCGGCGCCTCTGGCGCCGCCCGTGGCGCGCTCCGCGCGCCAGGCACGTGGGTCCAGCGCAGATCCAGGAAATCCGTGCGGAGCGCCAAAAGTTGATAGTTGTGCCGTTTTCTCTTCCATTCTCGTCATCCTCCCGCCTCTTTCTTCAGCTCTCTTCCGTTCTCGTCCCTTCCCCGCACTCCTTCCACTTCCCCCTCCTACATATCGGGTCCTCCCCTTCCCGCTCATTCCCGCGCTTCCCTTCCCATTCCCACTCCCTTCTCTTTGTCGCTCTTACTTTCTCCCGTTCCTCGTCCCCCATCCCTCCCTCCTTCGTCCTCCCTGCTCTTCTCCCCTTCTCCCCCCTTCTCCCCTCCCGGGCCCAGTTGACATGGTTCCCTGGCACGGGGCCGTGCGAGCACCCGACGCCCTCTGAGGTTGCACGCCCTTCCATTCTCCTTTCTACCCCCTCGTCCCTTCCCCCATCTCGCTCACCCCTCTTCCATCTCCTGGGTTTCCTGCCCATTCATCTTTTCGTCCTTCCCCTGGTCTTCCTCATCCCCCTCCTCCATTTTGCCTGGCCCCTAGCCCACCCGCGCTGCAAATACCATTCAAGGGTCAACGTCTCAGTCGACACTTGGATTAGCGAGTATGGATCGGAGGTTGGGGGGTGAGATCGCAGTGGAACGGAGAGCCACCCACCGGGAAATCGGCTTCGGTTCCGCGTTCGTGTCGTGCGTGCGGGCGCGGCGAAGATGCGTGGGCGCGCGTGAGGTTCTGACAGTGGTTGTGAGATAGAAATCGGGGACGATGCGACATTACATCGCAGCCCAATGTCGTCATCACGCGTCGTCGCTAACTCAAGGGCGCGTCACCAGCATCGGCATCATCACACCATCGCATTTGCCAGCAGTTGGCTCGTTCCCCCCCACCCCCAACTTTCCTAATCACCCGAAGGGCGTTCGTATGGGTATATGAAGCATCATAGCAATGGTCGGGAGAGAGGGGTAGGGTGTCATATGTGGCATGAGCGCACCCATCTTGCCCTCACCCCTTTTCCCTCTCCCTTTTTTCCTCCCCCGTGTGGAGGCTGCGCTGACGCATCGCCAATTTTGCGAGTGCTGTTCGACGGATAGCCTGGCCACGTTCCACATGTTACAGGGCACAGCACAAGCATCATTACAACATGTACTGCCTGCTGATGCTACTCCTGCAGGGGCCAGGGCACTACGTACATCTAAGACCACCCTTCGGGTGATCAGGAGATCGGGGGTGGGGATGTGTGTAGCGGTTGGCTTGCGATTGGCGCCGAATCGGATTCGCGATCAGATGCATTCACACATCTATACACATGCATCTGCATGTCGACATGTATTAACGATCGGTCTCATTATCCACCCATTGATCCCTGGTATCGAAACATCAGTCGTCTCACCAGCTCTTGGTCTCACTATCTTTCGGTCTCACTGCGTATGTCACGCTTCACATGTAAAGGGCACAGCCCGTCTTGGATCCCGCCGCAATTGCCTGCTCTTCAGAGAGAGAGCGGCTCGCCCAGCCCCCATGCGAGTCGCAGGGGTTGGGCTCCACTTTGACTGCCACCTCAGCGCCCCTGGCCTGGCGCACCCGCTGCACCCCAAGCGCCGCGAGAGGGGGCCCTTCGCGCGGCGGCGAGGCTTGGCCCTACGACCCGGCCGACGCCTCGACCCGCGCCCCCCCCCCTGGCAGAGTGCCTCGCGGCCGCCCCCGAGGCGCGCGAGGCGGGCCGGGTCTGCCCAGAGCCGTCTGCCCCTTGCCTGGCCTGCGACGCAGGCGAGGCGTCCTGGGCGTTCCAGCTGGGGGTCGGCGGGCTCGTGCTCCTGGAGCTGGCCCAGGCGGTGGCCCGTGCGCCGAGCGGCCCGGCCCGGGCTCCGGCGCCTCTGCCTCGCGCGCTGGAAAGGACGTGGGGGTGACCGTTCGCAGGTCAGCGAAGCAGGAGGTCCAGGCTTTGAGGAGCCGGCGGCGCGGCAGGCGAAAGCCAGTTGGGCGCGCAGCCGTGTCGCCGCCCGCTGATGGCGGGCGCCTTTCAAACCGTGAGGTACCGCGGGCCAAGGCCCGTCGTGTGGCACAAGCGCCTGACGCCGGGCGAGAGGGCGCGTTCGGCTACATCCTCACACCGGAGTTGGACGATCGATGAGCCGAACGCGCCAGGGCCAGGCGTGCGCGAGGTGGTCAGGGTTACCGGGCAATGGGCCAACCCTCCCGCCCTCAGCGGCGGGAGCGTGCATCATGGGTTCCGTTGGCTGCCGAGGCCTGGGCCGCGGTCGGGGGCGCCGTGACGGCAGCTTCCCTCCACCTCCAGCCGGATCCCTTCTGCTGGAGCTGGCGGCGTGGAGTGTCCTCGGCGTGCTGGCTGGGACCTGCGCGCTGGCCAACCGGGGCGCGGCGCTTGCGCCAGGAGGGGGCAGCGCCTGTGCCGGGCGCAGCAGCAGGCGCGGCGGCATGGGGTGAGCGCTCGTCGCCGCGCCTCGGCCAGCGGAGGTGGAGGCATGGCAGGCTTCGCGGCCGCCCTCGGCGGGCCCTCCATGGAGCCCCCGGCGGCGCCCGCCCGACGGGCGCTGGTGCCGCGGCCGCGGGTGCCTTGTGGGCGCGCCCGCGGCCGCGCCGCCAGCAGCCGGCCCTGCGGCGGCCGCCACGGCGGGAGCGGTGGTTCCGGCCGCCGCGGCGGGAGCGGTGGTCAACGACACCGCAACGGGTACTTACTAACGGGTACTTTGCATGTTTGCCGAACGTTGCCACTTTAGGGCCTCTTTCTTGCATTGCAGCTTTGCCCACATCGGAAAGGGTTGGGTTCGCTGGGTCAGTGGCCAAAGTACCCGTTAGTGGAGTCCCCGTTTGGGGGGCGCTGAGGTGGTTCCCAGTGCTCGCGTGGGCAGATGCCCGGTCCCCAATCGTAAGGGGGGGGCAGGCCCACGGGCTGCACTCAGGAGGGGACAAAACGCACTGGAAGCGACCGTTAATCTTGCCATGTTACGCTAACCTCTAAGCACAGGCGAGGGCACGGCCAGGGACAGTGCCGTACCAGTTCATTGGCACGGCTGGCTCTTTGTAGTGTTCAAGTAGCGATGTTTTAGCCGCGGGATTCGGCCGTTCGCGCCACCCTCGGACACTCTCAAGCGAGTTCTCTTCCCCCCCCCCGTTCACGAGTTCCCCAACCCAAATCTGCTGCTCAGGGCAAAATCTGGGATACAGCCACAGGGCGCTCTTCGGAAGCGGAAGCCGTATCAATGACTCGCGCCCCCCAGTCACGCATTACCGAGCTGGGCCCTCAGATCTTTCGCCCAGTCGACCTCACCAAGTCCGCGATCCTGGTCGCCATAACCCCCGCGATATCATTCACGCCACCTTCGGAGACGCTGCACCTTCACGTCCCTCCTCCCCCCTCCCTTCGCCGTCTTCGAGGGGGACCGGGGGAGAGGGGCCCGTCCCAGGTTGTCGCCACGGCCGCCGACGGGGAGCTCGCCCAGCTGGACCCCCACGGGGTCCCCACGGGCGGGGGAGGAGAGGCAAGGAGGAGCGGACAGGAGGAGGAGGAGGAGGAGGAGCAGGAGGAGCAGGAGGAGGAGGAGGAGGAGGAGGAGGAGGAGGAGGAGGAGGAGGAGGAGGAGGAGGAGGAGAGGAGGAGGAGGAGGAGGAGGAGGAGGAGGAGGAGGAGGAGGAGGAGGTTGAGGGATCAGGAGGAGGACGTGGCGCGCCAAGCCCGCGCAGGGCTCTGGGAGCCCGACGGGCCGACGAGGGATCCAGCCGCGGAGCTGTGGAGGTCTCGGACCTCTGGAGCCAGGTTGTCGTTCGACACAGCGGCTCGGTTCGCTGGCGACTTCTCGCCCCAGTCCCTGCCCCCCCCCCCCCGCAAAACATGATGGACCCACGAACCCGGAAATGGATATTGACATGTGCAGCGTGGTCACGTTTTCACGATACCCAATTGGGCGACACCGCACGAAACATCCCACGAGACACCCCGCGAAACATCCCACGAGACACATTACGAAACATCCCACGAGACACCTCGCGGAACATTCCACGAGGCACCCCGTGAAACATTCCACGAGACACCCCACGAACAGGCAACCACTCAACCAGACACCCCACGAAACATTCCAGGGGGGTGCGACTGGGTGTGGTCGTGCTGGGGTGTGGTCGTGCTGGGGTGTGGTCGTGCTGGGGAGTGGTCGTGCTGGGGGGTGGTCGTGCTGGGGGGGTCGTGCTGGGGAGGTCGTGCTGGGGGGTGGTCGTGCTGGTCGTGCTGGGGCGTGGTCGTGCTGGGGTGTGGTCGTGGGGTGTGGTCGTGCGTGCGTGGTCGTGCTGGGTGGTCGTGCGGTCGTGGGGTGTGGTCGTGCTGGGGTGTGGTCGTGCTGGGGTGTGGTCGTGCTGGGGTGTGGTCTTGCTGGGGTGGTCGTGCTGGGGTGTGGTCGTGCTGGGGTGTGGTCGTGCTGGGGGTGGTCGTGCTGGGGTGGGGTCGTGCTGGGGTGGGGTCGTGCTGGGGTGTGGTCGTGCTGGGGTGTGGTCGTGATGGGGCGTGGTCGTGCTGGGGTGTGGTCGTGCTGGAGTGTGGTCGTGCTGGGGTGTGGTCGTGCTGGGGCGTGGTCGTGCTGGCCCTGTGATTTATCGATCGGGTCGTGCTGGGGTATGGTCGTGCTGGGGTGTGGTCGTGCTGGGGTATGGTCGTGCTGGGGTATGGTCGTGCTGGGGTGGGGTCGTGCTGGGGTGTGGATGTGCTGGGGCGTGGTCGTGCTGGGGTGTGGTCGTGCTGGGGAGTGGTCGTGCTGGGGTGTGGTCGTGCTAAGGTGGCCCGCACCCTGTGATTTATCGATCGGGATTTCAAAAACAAGCGTCTCGCCCGAGACATCCCCAAATTTTAATCCGCCGGCCCACCTCGACCTCGAGATTTTCAGGGAAAGAATCCGCCGGCCCACCTCAGTTGAGGCACCGGGGACAAGTTTAGAATCTAAAAGAGAACCCTGGGCCTATGCCCTTTCCGGAAAAAAGATTGACCGTTCAGAAGAGGATTGACATGCACAGTGAAGGCCTACCAGTACACCCCCGCGGGGCTATCCAGGCGCACCCCTGTCGGGTTAGGACGCCCCCTAATCGTACATCCCCGAGCTGGGCTAGAATTTGGGGAGGTGCTTGTGGAGACCTACACAAGTTGGGGATTCGGGTCGCCGGAACCGTCCGTGATCGATCAGTCGATTCGACTCGATCGGAGCTTTCAGGAGGAGAAATGATGGGGGCTTAATTTGGTGCATTCGTTGTTGGGCGAATACGCATCTGAAGGTCAAGGATCTTGTGTGTCAGTGCCCGATCCAAGCCATCACAGATTGGAAATTGAAGATGTTGGGGATTGTTGAAGCAGAGGGAAGAAACCTCTCATTCCAAGACTGCTGTGGAACGGCCAATCCCACTGAGGCGTCATAAGCCTTATCATTTTGAAGCGCGGGCGTCTCGTATGAACAAGACGACCGCTGAGGAGCGCAAGAGGGCAAGAGGGAGTAGGGGTGAGGTGGGAGGGGGAGTAGGAGGAGGAGGGGGAGGGAGGAGGGAGGTGAGATGACGGAGAGATCAGGGGGAGCCGAGGGAAGGAGGAGGAATACAGGCGGATGGAGGACGGAGAACGGAGGAGAGAACGGGAGCGGGTCGAGGCTTTAGCGCCACCCCCGGCGGAGGACTTCAGGATGAGGCCAGAGGCCACGTTCTCGAAATTGATGGTCGCGTGGTGCAGAGAGAACCAGGCGTCCTCGTCGTCGCCGTCGTCGTCCATTCTTTCCGTTCCTCCTCGTCCTCCCCTTCCCCTCGTTCTCTCTGTTCTCGTCTTTCTCCTGTTTTCCGTCCCCGCTCCTCACCTCTTTTTCCGCCCTCCTCGTCCTCGTTTCCATGTCCCTCCGCTCCCTCACCCTCCTCCGCCCCTCATCCTTCTCCCCGAACCTTCTCCTCCCCCCCCTCCTCATTCTTCTCATCCTCGCCCTCCTCAGTGTCCCTCCCCCCCATCCATCGTGCTAAGACGCATTGTGAGCCCCCTGTTTCTGTGTTGTCCGTACAGTGGCACGTCTTAAGTGATCCCCATGGTGACCCCCGCTCTGCCCTGCTCCGCCTGTTCCTCCTCCTTCCCTCACCAGGTCAGCTGCGAAGGTGGGCGACGGGCCTTGCGGTCGGCGACCGCGTCGTCGCCAGCAGTCAGTACAGTCTTTGTCGTGATCAGTACCGCTGTCGTCGACGCCGACGTCGCCGACGTCGACGTCAGCGTCGTCGTCGTGGCCGCCGTCGTCGTTGTGGAGGTCGTCCTCCTACCCCCGCAGTCGGTCGTCGTTACCAAGGTCGTTCTCCTCCTCCCCCCTGCAGTCAAGATGCTGCCGAGATGACGGCCACCCCGGGCTCGGGAGGAGGACGCCGGTCTTCGAGCCGCTCCCCACGGCCAGTTTGGGAGCCTCGCCTGGTTGGCGGAGGCTCCCGGTGGCCAGAGGAGGAGCCCTCCCGTTGGCAGCGAAGCGGCTCCTCTTCGCTCGTTCGCCGGCAGCGGGGGAGCGAAGCACAGGCAGCGAGGCGTTGCTCCCGTTGCGCCCCCAGCGGCAGCACGAGGGGGCTGTGTCGGAGGATGTCTTGGAGGTCGTGATCGGCGGGGGCGACGGGCGGGAGGTCCCCGGCGGTCCTCGACGATGCCCCCCGCCCCTCCCTCGGGGCTCAAGAGACGGGGGTCAATGCAAACGGGGTCCGCCAGAGCGCGGGATCCTGCAGGATCCTGCAGGGCCAAGGGCGCACGGACCCGGGTTTGGGTGCAGGATCCTGCAGGACCCTGAAGGATCTTACAAGGCCTGACTGACGCTGGGTCTGGATTGACCCCCCCCCGCTTCATCATCATAATCATCATCATCATCATCATCATCATCATCATCATCATCATCATCATCATCATCATCGTCATCGTCATCATGGGCATCATCATCATCATCATCATCATCATCATTATCATCATTATCATCATCATCATCGTCGTCGTCATCGTCATCGTCATCGTCATCATCAGCACCATCACCATCATCAGCATCAGCATCACCATCATGGTCATCACCACCACCATCGTCATCATCAGCATCATACCATTATCAGTATCATCATCATCCGTATCAGTATCAGCATCATCATCATCAGCAGCAGCATCATCACCATCATCATCATCATCATCACCATCATCATTATTAGTATGGCTATCATCACCATCATCATCTCATCATCAGCATCATCATCGTTTGATACGTTTCACAAGCTTGAGCAGAAGACCGTCCTTGTCGAGGCCATTGCCTCCGCGCCATGCCCTAATCGGCACGGGTGAGTTCCCCAGAGGAGCACGCGCGACGCCGGCGTTCGCTTCGCTTCGATTCGCCTTCCCCCTCGTGCCCCTCCCTCGTCAGGCTTCTGCCTCCCCCCTCCTTTCTCCTGCCTCGCTCCCTCATCCATCCTCGTGGTTCATGATCATTTCTCCTTCCGTCCTCCCGCTCCTCCCCATCCTCGTCGTCGTCGCCGACGTCGTCGCCAGCGCGGTCAGTTTCGTCGTCGCCCTCCTCCTCCAACCCCCTCCTCCTCTTCCTCCTCCTCCTCCTCATCCCCTTTCTCTTCCTCCTCCTCCTCCTCCTCCTCCTTGTCCTCGGGTGTCGACATCGTCAATGTCGTCAATGTGGCCGTCGGCGAGGCCGTCATGGCAGGCGTAGTCGTCGCTGTCGGCGCAGAATCGGGCGATCATCAATCGTGAGGGATCCTCTGATTTTCTTCGGCTCGCGCGCGGCGTGCTGAGTTATCGCGGGAGTTGGAGAGTTTTGCGCTGGGTTTCCTGGGAGGGTTCCCGTGTGGCCGCGGCCGCACTGTCGCTGTCGTCGTCGTGGTCGGTTGGAGGGTTAGGGGCGAGGGGGAGGAGGGCGAGGGGAAGGATGGGGGAGGCGGGGGGGGATCGTGTAGGAAGGGAAGGAGGAGGGGAGTGCGAGCACGAATGCTCCTCGAAGGGGGGAGGGCGCTGTCACTTCAGTGGCCTCCTCCCTCGGCTTCGCCCTACTTCATCTTTCCCTCATCTCACGTCCTCCTTCCTCCCATTTCCCTGCTCGTCACCCTCCCTCGTCTTTCTTCTTTCCTTCACAGCCTTTATCTTTCGCTCTCCATGGGCCGGGGATCGCTTGCGGGCAGGGTACGAGAACGAGGAGGAGGAGGACGACGACGATGGCGACGTTGACCGCGGTAACGACGATGACGTCGGCGACGACGACAATACGGACTCCGCGCCGAGGAGGAGGAGGAGGAGGAGGAGGAGGAGGAGGAGGAGAAGGGGAAGGAGAAGGAGGATGAGGAGGAGGAGGAGGAGGAGGAGGAGGAGGAGGAGCGAAGAAGGAAGGAACATGAGTGGGGAGGAGGAGGTAGAGAGGAGGCAGGAAGGGCAGGTAGGAGGGAGGAGCGTGAAAGGGGGGAGTTGGAATGAGGGAGGAAGGGGTCGGGGGGATGACCGCTGAGGACGGCCGGCGGCCTCCTGCCGACAACGACGATATGTAATATGGGCGAGGAGGAAGCCATGCCGCGCATGCATCCGAGAGCACCCTCCAGCAGTCAGGTGAGTGAGAGGAGGAGGAGGAGGAGGAGGAGGAGGAGGAGGAGGAGCACGACGGTGACAACGACGACGACGACGACGACGACGACGATATTGACGGCGATAGATAACGACGACGACGACGAGTACGACGACCACGACTACGATTACGACCACGACTACCATTACGACCGCGACGACGTTGACGACGACGACGTTCACGGCGACGACAAAGAGATAGATGTTGACGACGTCGACGTCGACGACGGTTTTGACATTAACATTGGCGGCGACGACGACGACGCTAACGGCGTTGACGACGGCGGCGTAGACGACGACACCGACGACGTCATTGATGCGAAATCCGACGACGACGACGACGACGACGCTGCCGACGGGGCTCACGAAGACGAAGACGGCCAGGTGGACGTCGGTGCCGCCGCCTTCTTCCTGGAAGAGTCTCGCCGGGAGCTGGCCCCGGAGGACTCGCCCGCGTCCATCGGCTGCGGCCTCGACGCGGGAGTCCTCGCGGGCGGGGGGGGGGGGCCAGCGACGGCATCTGTAGACGTCCGCCGCCCGTGGGCCGGGCCCCTCTCGGGGCCAGGGCCGGCGCATGCTTTTTTGTTTCTCCCTGGCCGAGACGCGGGGCGCGGCACGCACTGCTCCTGGGCTCGCCGCGCCGCGATGATCCGATGCCGCCGACGCCTGCATGGCGCCTGCCCCGATCCGATCCGAGTCCCCCAAGGGGGGCCTCAAGACGGCCCACGAGGAGCCCAAGGCGGCCCAGCAGGGACCCGAGAGGGGGAGCGCGGACGGATGCTCCGAGCCTTCCGCTCCAAGAGGCGCTCCGGGAGGCCTCAAGAGGCCCCCCGAAGGCCCCGAGATGCAGTACGTACCGTTTCACCGACCCCCATCCCCATCCTCATCTCGGGCCGGGCGCGACAGGGGGGGATTGGGAAAGGGGGGGTTACGAAATTTGCTGCGTGCAGCTGGTTTCGGCCTCACCAAGGGGCCCGTTCCTCGATACATGGCCGCGTCCGGCGCCGGAAGGCGCCGGGAAAATCAGCTACGTGAGCTGATTCTCAAACCCCCCCTTTGCTATCCCCCCCTTTCGCCCGACCCGAAAGAGGCCCCCCGAAGGCCCCAAGATTCAGCATCGTTGGACCGAACCCCATCCCCATCCTCATCCCCTCCGAGACCCCCGCCAAGCTGCCACCCCAGCTGGGAACGCAGCCCTCGAACCCCGAAGGGGACGGCCTACGTATCCCCTATCTGGGGTGGCGGGTCGGCCCGTGGGGCCCAGACCACGCCGCCGGGGATGGGGACTGGTCGAACGATGCCCAGAGGTGCTCCCCAGGGTTCAGGAGGGAACAAAAACACACAGAGACACCATGAGCCGTCGATTCCCCCGAAAATATTGGAAAAGATGGGAAAAGCTGGGGGGGAAAACGAACAAAAACCCAAAATATGGGAAACTATGGGGAATAGTTTTACGTGTGTGCATTCACTTGTGTGTCCTGGGGCCCCTTCACCAAGATGGGGAAAGATTCCCCCGTGTGTCCAGAGACACCATGAGCCGTCGATTCCCCCGAAAATCTTGGAAAAGATAGGAAAAGATGGGGGGGGGGAAGACGGACCCCCCCCAAAAACACACAGAGACACCATTAGTCAAAGGCAGAAAAAAACGCCCCTACCCTGGTTTACGAGGCGCTGTGCGCTGAAACTCCTGGGGGCTGACAGGGTAAGCCCTGCGTGATGTGCCGCGTCCTGGCGGCTCTAGGCTTTGGAGGTTCCCAGAAGGTTTACAGACCGCGCACTTGTAATCCAGGGTAGGGTCGTTTTTTTCATCCCTCAATTAGTCGTCGATTCCCCAGAAAGTATTGAAAAGGTGAGAAAATAGTTATGGGGGGGAAGACGAACACCCCCAAACTATGGGAAAATATGGGGAATAGTTCTACGTGTGTGCATCTACTCGTGTGTCCTGGTCGGGCGAAGAGAGCTATGCACATGCACCGATCCTGACCACGCCCATCCTTGACCCAGGATTGGTGCATATGCTTTCCTGGCCGAGGTAAGAGGGCGTATGCACCGATCCTGGGCTCAGGATGGGCCTGGCCAGAATCGGTGCATGTGCATAGTTCTCTTTCCTCTACCTGGGGCCCCTTCCCAAAGATGCCCCCCGGGGAGGCTCGGCGCCGCGCCGTCCGCAGGGCGACCCCGGGCGCGCGCGGCGAGGGTCGGCCCGGGGGCCGCCGGCCGATGGGGTGCCGCTCGCCCTCGGCGGGCGGCCGCGGCCCGGAGGAGGAGGAGGAAGAGGAGGAGGAGGAGGAGAGGGGAGGAGGAGGAGGAGGAGGAGGAGGAGGAGGAGGAGAAGGAGGAGGAGGAGGAGGAGGAGGAGGAGGAGGGCCCCCAGGCGGCGCCAGGGGGGCCCCCAAGCTAAAACGACGCGAAGGTCGGGGCAAAATCGGATCGGGATAACTCGAAATCTCTGAGAATCGGCGGGTTTGGAGGACGTATTGGGCGCCGCGGCCGCTCCCGAGCGTTCCGGGACGCTTTGAGAGCGCTCCGGAACGCTCTGGAGCGGTTTATCCCGATCCTAGCCCTGTCTTACAAGCAGCTCCAACGGGCCTCAAGAGAGCCCCAAGATCAGGAGGGGGAGCAAAAACACACAGACACAATGACTATCGTCGATTCCCAGGAAGACATGGGAAACTATGGGAAGCGGGGGGGAAGGCAGAAACCCAGAAAATATGGGAAAAGATGGGGAATCTTTTTATGTGAGTGTATTTATTTGTGTGTCCCAGGGCCCCTTCACAAGAGAGCCCCCAAGAGACTCCCAAGGGGGCCCGAAGAGGCGGTGTGGGGACTGGGCTGCCTGGGTGTGGGGACTGGGCTCGCCCCAAGACGGCCAAGGACTACAACAGCCGCCCCGGGCGCCCCTTCCCCGCGCCGGCGCAGGTCCTGTGTGCCCTCGTGATTTTTGTGTCGTTGGCGTCGATGAGTGTCTGGGCGTCGATGAGCCAGCGCCGATGCAGCGTCGCTTAGCGCCACTCCGCGTCGAGGAGCGTCGATGTGGCGTCGACCAGCGTCGATTCGCAGGAGCCTGCAAGATGGCATGGGAGGCTCCCACGAGTTGCAACCGAAGACGTGGCCTCACTGAGGTTCCCGTTTTTTTTGCACCAGGGGCAATGGACATGGGCGCTTAGGCTCGATACATTTGCAGCAAGAGGCCCCTTTTCCCCAAGGCGCTGGGCCCTCCTGATTTGGGTCCCCTCCCACAGGGTTGGGGGTAGTTGCTCTTGTTGCTTATATCCATCCGGGGCCCGGGATCGGTGCACGCGCCCCCCCCCCCCCGCAGCTGCGGAAACGATTGGAGGGGGGGGGGCGGGCGTGGGGTGTGCCGCGGGGTGGGTCGCGGGGTGGGTCGCAGGGTGGGGTCGCGGGGTGGTCCACGGGGTGGGTCACGGGGCGGGTCGCGGGGGAAGGGTCACGGGGTGGGCCACGGGGTGGGTCACAGGGCGGGTCGTTGGGGGGTCGCGGTGGGGTTGCGGGTGGGGTCGCGGCGGGGTGGTTCGCCGGGCGGGTCGCAGGGTGGGTCGCGGGTGGGTCGCGGGTGGGGTCGCGGGGTGGTTCGCGAGGTGGGCCACGGTGCGGGTCGCGGGGGGGGGGGACGATGACGAGGATGACGACCTAGACGATTCCAATCATGAGTTGCAGATTTTGTTCTCACTTGCTCGTGTGTCAGTCAACATGTAGATCCCGCACCCCCGACACCCAGCCGCTTCGTCTTCGATCGTACCCCCCTGGGGGTATATCCTCCTTACCTGCCACGTGTAGTTGGCGCAGCCCGTAAAAGAGGGGAAGGGAGGGAGAGTGGAAGGGACAGGGGGAGGGAGAAGGATGGAGCTCGAGAGAGATTAGCAGGACGGGCGTCAGGAGCAGGAGAACAAACGGCAGAACCAGACAGGCGCGTCGGCCGGGCGAATCCTAACGGGTGGATTGGGAGGGTGGGCCCAGACGGCCAGGTCGAGCGAGCGGGTGGCTGAAGCGTCAGTCTTGCATGGATCGCGAAGAAGTCTCGAGCGATAGCGGGATTCCACCATGAATCGTGAGGAAGTCTAAGGCGAAGGCGTAATTCCTCTGTGTCGACGGCGTGGCGTTTCAATAAAGTGCAAGGTGGTTCCACGCGAGAGCGCGATTTCTTAATACATTGTGACGAAATCTCACGCGAGAGTCCTTGAATTTTCAGTGTTGAAGAATAATGATTATTGATCCCTCCGTCCGGGGCGCAGTATGTTTTTTATTTAAATGCCCTTCCCGGGGTTCGCACCCTGGTTTTCTATTACGGAAAGTTTTTCGTGTCAGACTTGATCTCTGTTTTACAGCAACAGCAGCTCCCGCCTGATACGTCCCCACAATTTATTCCCAAATCGCGCTCTCGCGGGGGACTTCCTCGCAATTCATTCAGACGTCGCGCCATCGACACTCAAGAATCACGCTCTCGCTGTGGATTTCCTCACGGTTTATTTGAGAATCGCGCTTTTGCTCGAGGCCTCCTCGCGATTCATGCAGGACACGCACGCTCCAGCAGCCCGCTTGCTCGACCTGGCCGCCTGGGCCCGCCTTCCCGACCCGCCTGTTAGGGCCTCCCCGCCGATCTGCCCGTCTGGTCATGCCACGTGGTCTCTGCAAGGGCTCCCAGGAGGGCGCGAAGTTATTCGCGCTTCGCGCTTCGCCGTCCTCCTTCCTCCTCCCCCTTCTCCTCGTCCTCCTCTTCTCCCCCTTGGGGGGCGGCGCGAGAGCGCGAAGTTATTCGCGCTTCGCGCTTCGCGCAGCGCGAAGCGCGAACTTAGGAGCCCTTGTCTCTGCTCTTAGCCCCCCTCCTGCGACCTTCTCTCGTGCTCCATCCTCCTCCCTCCCCATTGTCCAGTCCTTCCATCCGTCCTCTCTTCCCCTGCCTCACGGGCTGCACGAACTACACGCTGCAGGTGCGAGAGATCAATACCCACAAGAGGGTACGATCGCAGACGAAGAGGGCCGGCACCGAAGGTTTGTGATATTAGTTTTGGTTGGCAGTCGAGCAGATCAGAGCGAAGAGTCAGAAAATGGTTGCTGCTGTGTTGTTGTCGTCGTCGTCGTCGTTAGTATTGTTGTCGTCGTTATGTCTAATCTCTAAAGAACAATCGTTGTTGATCCCCCCCTCACCTCAGGTAACCAGTTGTTTTCCTTGGGCTCGCACCTTGTTTTTTGCAAGGGGCAGTGAGGGGTCAGCAAACTGCGCCCCTGGCCCCCGAGTTACAACGACAACGGCTCTCGCCTGATACGTCCTCACAATGTATTCCCCAAACGCGCTCTCGCGCGGAGTTTTCTCACGATGTATACAGGCATCGCGCTCTCGCGTGAGACTTCCTCGCAATTTATTCACACGCCGCGCCATCGACACTCAGGAGTCACGCCCTCGCTGTGGATTTACTCGCGATTTATTTGGGAATCGCGGTATCGTTCAAGACTTCCTTGCGATT